AAAAGGTATGTACCTATGCCGTATGACCACCCTATAATAATATAATATTCATCTATACTAGCATAATACTCATCTATACCTAGGTACCTATATAGATGCTATTTTCAATTATTTTGATTTTTTAATTTTTTAATTATTTTGTATTTTGTCTTTTAGATTCTGAGTGGAACGATGAATGTATGATTTTACAATGATGTGTGTTTTTATATTTATTTTTAGATTCTGAGTGAAACAATGAATGTGTTGATTTTATAATGATATGTTTTTTTTGTGTCTGTCATCACCTTTTAGGACAGTAAAAGAGCTTAGATTTTCTTCAACAGTATCTTTTCTGAAAGGAAAGTGAATATTGTTGGTGCATCGGGAAGGTCAACATCTAAAATTCCCAGTAATTTTCAATAGCGCCAAGAAAAACAAAAGAAAAATTAGGAAAAACGGGAATTTTTACGTAAAATCGATTTTTCACAAAATTGAATTTGGTTAATGGTGTAACTTTAAATCAAATGACCGTAGATACATAAAATTTTCACAGGTTGTTTATATTTGCATTTTCTATACACGATAACATTTTCAAAATATTTTGATTTATTTTGAACTGTTTAGGGACATTTTCATTTTTCATTTTTTTTTAGTTTTTTTTCTAGAAATATCAATAAAATTTTATTAGTTGGTTAAAAAAACCTTGAAAATTTAATAGAAGGCTCCTAGTATATTGTTTCAAAGGCAGATGAAAAATATTAAAAATCGTTAGTCACAGTTTTTTTTTTATAAACATTTAAAGTTCAAAAAATGACAAAATATGGAAAAATCACGAAAATTAGCAAATTAATTTGAGTTAAGAATTCGTAAAAATTTTTCTTTTTAAATCTAAGATTTTAAAATGTAATACAAGATTCCTTATAAGATTATCTACCTTTATCAAAAAAAAAAGTCTATAAGAAAGTTAAATTAAATTTTTATGAGCGTTTGAAATTCAAACTTTTACAACATTGGATATTCACCCGATTTCTCATGTAGCGATTTCCTTATTTTGTTGTAATTCAAAAACGAATAACTGTAGATACATGGAAATTTCACTAAATGTTCATATTAGCATTTACTATACCCAATACAGTTTTGAAAATAATTACGGACATTAGCGTTTACGGACATTTTAAGTTTTCAATTTTTTTAGTTTTATTTTCTATAAATATCAATAAAGTTTTTTCTGTTGGGCAAAAAAGTGTAAAAATTTAATTCAAGGCTCCTGATAAATTGTTACAATATCAGTTGAAAAATATTAAAAATACTTTGGCACAGTTTTTTTTATAAGCATTTAAAGATCGAATTTTGACAAAATTTATCAAAATCTCGAAAATTATCAATCATTGTAATTAATAAATTATAAAATGTTCAGTTTTTATAGCTAAGGATTGCAAATTCAAAACAAAGGTTCTCATAAATAGTTCATACTGTAACCAAAAAATCTAAAAAATACATAAGCGCAGTTTATTAAGACGAAATTACATAATAAAAAACCTAGAACAACTATTTTAGTTATTTTGTTGTGATTGTATAATATTATTCGTGGGTACTTGAAACTTCTAAAGTGTACTATTATATATCTATGGACTATGATAGTATCACGGTTTTTGTTGATGTATAACGCGTTATAAGTACCTAATGGATATTGTGATATTATGATTAATTTGGAATTTATTATAGGTCAATTTTTTTTAATACCATAGATATGTATATGTTACGGTAAATGACGAAAAATAATAATTTACGTAATTTACCGGTAAATATCGTTAATATCCATTTTAAATTTATATGAGTAGATTTTTACGTCAATTACCGGGAATTTACGATAAAAAATTATACAAATGGTTATTGTTGTACTTGTATCATATATTATTATTAACTACTTATTTTCACATGGTAATGATCCAACAACATACAGGCCAGATGAGTAGATGACACTGTCTACAATACTGTCGGATCTCGGATATCTGTGTATTTGTCAGAAAGACGTAATGGGCCGTCAAAACGTTATCGGCAATTGACGCAGGTCATTACGATCGTTATTGCACGTTCTAGAATATTCGATACCCCGTCCTAAAACTGAACTTTATTATCGATTACTTATACCTTTAATCTTTAGGTATCAGATATCTTGCTCATAAACATATTTATAGATATTAAAAATCTACCTAATGTAAAACTGTGCAGCAGAAAAACATAAAAGTTGTTATAATCGAATTTTAGTATCATACATAACATTTACCAATTAGTTTGGTGAATATCGCAAATAACCGGCGAATATCGAAAATCTCCATTTTATATATATATTTACGATAATTACCGGTTAATTACGTAATTTTCATGTTTTACATCATTTACCGTAACATATATAATATGTCTTAAACCTAGACTGACATACCGTCTTCACTCAGAATGGTTTTTCTTATACAATGATATTGTATCATTGAATTCAAATTTAATAGCACCAATTAATAATTATACAGTGACCCACTTGTAACCTACTATACAGCAGAGCGACATCCACTTACCCACTTTTTTTTTTGTACCCGATTTGGCAATTTGTATCCATTTGTACCCTTCTTAGTTTAATTTTGAGTATATAATATTATTTTGTTATTACGCCCAATGTTACGTTATTATTATTCATTATACCTAGGTACCTTTTAAATATTATGTGTGTCTAAGCAGTACCTACTTTGATTAGTTAATATTGTGATGTGTAATATGTGTATAGAGTGTATCTACTTCTTAGTCTTTATGTCTTCTATTGACTATTCAGTATTCCTATAGCCTACTAGGGCCTAGTTATTCCGTATTTCGATATATTATAATATAATATAATTTTTCTACAAAAATTGAGATATTTCCGTGTGTAATATATATAATATGTGAAACATAAAATTCAGAAACGGTTCAAGTGCTCGAGATTCAAAAAACTGTTTTTTTCAATTTTTTCTTTGCATTACTACTACATAATAATTGTTTTTATATCACCGTTTTAAACCTATCTTCTAAAATGTTATGTTCGCTTTAATAAATTGTATATGTTATTATTTTGAATTTTATTATTATTATCGTACCTATGCAAAGTCGATTCCAGGCGCTGTGGAAGCCGCAATTAATCAGCATTTCAATAATATATTAAAAATATAAGTAGTTTGAATGCACGAATTAGATAGACATTTTTCATGAGTATTGCAGTACATTTAACTATTATAGCTAAGAGTTTTAGTAGGACCTTGGTGTGTCGATTGTTTATGACAATGTCGTTACATACATAATAGTATAAGTAATAATAAGTAAACATGAAAAGACTACAATAAATTCAATACATTTCAATTTCTTAAAACATACATGTTATGTAATATTATATTACATATATAGGTATACTAATATATTGTATTACCAAGTTTAATTACTTCAATTCATACCTTATACCTTTACTAACCTTTACATTGGGTTACACATATTAATTTTTTGCAATATTTCAAACAAATTTCAAAACAAGAAATCTACATATATATATTATTATATGTTATAAAATTATAATAAATTGAATTTAAATTCCTCCAATGCTTAAAATATTGTAATATTTGTCAAAATTTTTATTATGTCGTTGGTATGTAAAAATGTATTTTACATGATTTATATATATTATTAATAAATACATACCACCCTATCCTATCCTATCACCAACCTGTCACCGTTTTAAACCTATCTTCTAAAACGTTATTATTATATTCGCTTTAATAAATTGTAAATGTTACTATTATTATTATATATATCCTTTGCAATGTTATAATCATTTAATTTAATAATTTAAAAATTAACCTACCTAAGTAAATGTAATGTACAATAAATATAGGTACATTATACTGTTATGATAATGCACATACTTTCATTATGATTTAAAATATGTATATCAATAATATTAAAAAAAAATATATATATATAAGGAGTTTGAATGCACGAATTGGATAGACATTTTGCAGTACATTTATTTAAAAGCTAAAAGTTTTAGTAGGAGCTTGGTGTGTCGATTGTTAAGACAACGTCAATTTCTTAAAACATACATGTAACGTTATACTAATATATATGCTACGGGTAATTGATTAACCGGCTGTGTGACGGGGGAAAGCGACGCCAGTACACGGCGGTCTCTCAAACCTTTAGCCATCTTAACCGCGCCCGACTCGTCCGCGCCTTAACGGCGCAATCGTCATCCCTCGCTAAGAGGTGCGTCTGGGCGCCCGAGCGCCAGGCAGACGGCCCAGAGCATGCCTAATTCAAGGCATATTATGGGTATCGCCGAATGCGCCAGCGGCGGCAGGTTTTTAATCTACTCAAGCAAACCCCCTTCTACTGAAAGCGCTACTTCCACAACCTCCGCGGTTCCATCCACATAAGCCACGGACGCGCGACAGTCGCGCGTGCGAATGAGCAATCACTCGCTCGCCCGGCTGTCGGACGCGCGTGTCCTAGCTACCGGAGTGCTGTTTTTACGAGCAGGGCTCTCTCCGGTACCCGCGGAATAAGATTTCGGGCTCCGTATCCCAGGTACTCACAACGACCTATTTCCCACAAGCACGATATCGAGGCGGGAATCCGCAGGGTTTTCCGCCGCGATCCGCCTTATTGTGCGGTACGGTTTACTGCGCGGGTTTATGCTACGGGTAATGTTAACATTTGGATAATGTCGACATTATCCGGCTAATGAGACATTAGCCAACTGTCATCATAAGCCGCCATGAATTTTGGCTAATGTTAACATTAACCGGGTAATATTACATTAGCCAAGAACTTTTGAATAATGTCTTAACAATGTATCATACATGAGATGCAATAATTTAAATTATTAACAATATTAATATTATACTTAAGACATAATTGGAAACAACTATAAAGTACATAATATTAATAATATGAGTTTAATTTTTAATTTTTAACAACTTAACCTACTTACGATACATAATGTGTTATCCTTTATTATTACATGGCATGCTTCCATGACATTTTGAATTGCACAAAATGCTAGATGATTTACAATTTACATCGATTGGTGTCACATTTCCGCTTACATGAACACCTTTTACATCCTTGACCACCACCATCTGACATTTGACTCGCAAATTTCCCTCAATGATTTTTCTACATGCACCACCTCATCAAGCGGTATTAAAGACACAGGACAAACACCAAATTGATTTCTGGTGTATAACTGTGGCAAAGTAACATATTTATTGCCAAGTTTATAATATTGCCCATCCTCAATAGACACAACTCCAAATATAATATTTCTTGGGTCTGCTCGTCCTCTGTCGACATCCGGTAAAGAGACTCTCACACTGTCTCCAATGTTGGCTGGGGGAAACTTATGGATAGACCTAAATTTCATTTTTCCAGCTTGGTTCAGTAAACAAATTTCAGATTTTTTCTATTATTTTCGATTGATTTCTGTAAAAAATTAATTATTAGTTATTGGGAACAATAAAGGTAATTTAAAATAACAATATCTTACCTGTCTTGAGCATATTAAGTCACATAATCCTTCGTCCTTGGATGCTTTCGAACAACAATTTTCATTCACCACTTGAACATTATTTGTTTCATCCACGCCTTCGTTTTCGTCTTCTTCATTGATATTGTTTAAAAATATTACAAGATCATCTTCAGTATTGATATTATCAACGGAATCGCTAGAAAAACGTGTAGTCAAACCAACTCTCATATCTGTTCCAAACATTGCCTCGTACGGTGACCTAAAGTTATTTCGAAAATATTATAATTAGGGCTCAAAAGTTAGCGTAAGTTAGGTTAAAATTTGACAGTAAAAAAAAACTATACTGATAAATATTTAAATACTAATTTCAAATTACCTTTGGATACCAGAATGAAGTGCTTTATTTTTCATAAGCTGCACAAATCTCAGTCCTTCTTTCCATGATTTTACATTATTAGTTTGCATCCAAGTAATTAACATATTTTGTATATCTTGATTAGCTCTTTCCACGCTCCCCTGACTTTGACTATGTCGTGGTTTACCATGCACTATTTTTAACGTAGGCCACATAGTTTTTAAGTCATTTATAATTTTATTGACAAATTCTCGTCCATTGTCGGATTGTAAAATAACTGGTGCTTCAAAAATACAAAATATGTCCAAAATATTGGTCGCCACTTCTTCGGCCGTTTTTGACTTTAAAGCTGAACAAATTTTGTTAAATGGTCTTGGTAAACCATAATAAAGCGAAATTCTCCATCAGCTTGCGATTGCATGTCGATCAGGTCAACCTGACAACGACTATTCATTTCTGAATGAATAATCGGTTTAACAACAAGGCCTTTTCGTTTAGATGACAGTTTTGTTTGACAAGGTCCACAACATTTTAAAAACATAAGAACAACTTCCTGAGTTAAATTTTTATTTCTGTCATCATTCGATGCTTATCGGTAAGATAAAGTACTGCTGCATTATATTATAGCAGGTTAACCTACGATTATACTCGTAATTCAAATAATCTACAGATAGACCGATCTATATGTGTAATCGATAAAATATAAAATTGTTACACGTGTAGATTACACTTGGTCCCACTTTTTATAAAAAAATTGAATTCAGTTTTCACTTTTAACATTATCGAATGTTGACTGGCTAATGTCGACATTATCCGGATAATGTTAATATTTCATTAATATAAACGAAAAATTACACATTAACCAAAACGCATGGCTAATGTCGACATTAGCCGGATAATGTCGACATTATATAAATGTTAACGTTACCCGTAACATATATATATGTATTACCAAGTTGAATTACTGCAATTGACACCTTATATTTTTATATATACTAACCTTTACATTGGCTTACACATATTAATATTATTTTTTTGAAATATTTCAAACAACTTTCAAAACAAGAAAACTACATAATATACAATATACATGTATATATATATATGCTTCCTCAAATGGTCTAACTATCCTTAAAATATTGTATTATTTGTCATCATTTTTATGTGGCTGGCATGCAAAAATGTATTATACATATCATTTATATACTACTTTATATAAATTTTATTTATTATTATAATTTTAATTGTATTGAGTAAAATGTGTTATATTAAAATAAATATAATAACATTAACTGATACCCATGTTTAATTACTAACTAGGTACATTTGAAAAGTTTCATTTTTTTTCTTACTTATTTTATTGCAATATACCTTTAGGCTACCCTTACCTACAATAAGCCATTGGTTAACAATTAATGTTGTCTTTAGTATTATTCATTAACCAATAGTACCAGTTAATTTGTAATTGATGTAGCACATGCATATATATATACATTTAAATTGATTAATAGTGTCGTATATTGTAGACAGTCGCCTAAATATTATTTCATATATGTAATAGAGGTGGGAACTTTTTATTGTAAACCATTGACATAGGTCAGTGAAGCATATGTGCTGAGACAGCTATAAGATTACTATATAACACCGCCGCACGCGCAGGCACGAGGAGGAGTCCCGTTGTCGCTGAGTGAATCGGCGAGGACGTAGGTACTGTGGTCGTACGTGTGAAACGTCGATCGTAGTACGGGCTAGGCGATCTGAATTCGCCAAGTATATTTTATTTTGTGTTTGTTATTTAAATATAATAAAAGTGTTTCCGACTTGAAAACCCGAGTTACAATTATTTAAGTCATTCTTAAGTTCTTACCTTTAATAGGAGCAGCGCCGGGATATACTTACTATGTGTCAATGAGGTTTTATTAAACTGAATAGTGCCAAGGTATATGTAATCTTTGAGTCATTTTACTAGATTGGAAAGAACTTAGGATTGACAAACTCACACCATTGTACCTCCAAGTTAACAGTGCCATTCTAATTAATTTTAGAGAGTGTCATTAGCTAGAGAATACGAGGGTGAGGCGTATAGTAGGTTTACCCCGTATTATCCAATACGGGTGATACGACAATAGTAAGTTTCATACACAAATTATTATAATTTCAAAATCATATATCTACTATGACCAAGGTTTGTAAGAGATTTTCAATTTTGTTGTATGTATAATATGTTTGATTCCTACGTATTGCAGTCGACGCAAGAATCAATTTAATTTTTTTAAACATCATTAAACTACACTATATTGTATGTTTGAATTTGTATTGCTTAGCAATGTCTTTCGTATGTAATAAACTTAATGAGGTATGATTAGATATTTTGCCTCCGCAAATAATTTTCATTGTAAAAATATTATGCAAATAGGTACTGATTAGTAGTACCTAATTGATAATATATTATTTGTAATTTAAAAAACAAATAATCCATGTTCATATTTATTATTTTTATTATCATTATACATTACTACTTACTTATATTAAACCTAAAATTGTAAAAGATTGTGATTGATGGTATTAAAACCACTTTTAAAAACCAAAAACTATAAGCATGTGCACAACACGCATATATACAACATGATACATTTAACTGATGTTTTATAGGTTACACTTATATTCAATTAACTGTACTTAATAAGTACTTATGAACAGTAATAATGTTATGATAGGTACGCCACACCTAGAGGTGTCTATATGGTCGTAGCCCATTCGGCTCCCGTTTCTCTAATCGGCTCCCGTTTTACAAAAAGGGCAATTCCCAAACGGCACCCGTCTAAAAAAGTCTAACGAACAGGTAAATTCATAAACGGCTCCCGTTTTGTACACTGCAAATTCCTTCCCACTTTATACAGACTTAGGACTCTCTCAAAAGAGGTGTGGTTAAAAATGTCTTGGTTTACACTATGTAAATTATTAAAATTATATAAAAAAAAGCGTATAGTATAATATTTAATTTTTAATTTTTAATGTTAAAAAAATATATAAAAATTGTAACAAATGTATAAATAAAAATATTAAAAAATCATAATATATCGGGTAAATTTGTTAAGCACAATTTTTTTATATAGTCTAGGCGTGATATTTTATTTGATGAAAACTCGCAAATGATTTTTCGACGAACTCTTGATTTTTTTCGATCTTGGTGTATTAAAATAACTTCGAGCTTTAATTTGCGTTTCAGATTGTATATTGATTAGTATATCAATAACCTTAAAAATATTTGGGTGTGTAGTATTGAATTTGCCGAAGTTGTAATATTAATTTTGTCTAAACTTCTTCTGTTGATTTTGGTAATTTTGGTAAGGATTTTGAACGAACATAGTATACAGATTTGAGAATTTTTTTTTGACGGGAGCCGTTTTGGAATTTACCTGTTCGTTAGACCTTTTTGGACGGGAGCCGTTTGGGAATAATCGAACAATAGACGGGAGCCGTTTGGGATCCGACGGTCTATATAAGTAATTTAGAGCATTTAATTAGCTTTATGGAACGTTTTAATTTCATTTGGTATGTACAAGTCGTTCGCAATCAGACACCTATATACATGGGAAGTATGGTTGCCTTTAAATCGACTACTTAACCTTTTTATTCAATTGAAATTCGGCTTTAACATTTTCTCCTACAATAATACAATATCAGACTATCGACGTTAGGAGGTATGCCCAGTAAACGCACAAATTTGTACCGGTTGAGGACTGAAAGCTGGACACACAATTACCTTTTTCGTTTTGCATTTATCCTTTTTGCACGCACAAAATAACAGGACATGTGACGGGACATGTATCCAATCCGCCATACACAGATGCCCTATAACTCATAGATTTGCATACAGCGATGATTTATAGCTAGACATTCGATTACAACTATTCGCAATTCCTAATTTCTTATACAATCAACAAAACAGAACCGGGCATACAGTGGGGCACGGTATTACACCAGACGAAGAGAGACCGCTGGACACTCAGTCACAGTTTTCGGATTGCATGCCTCATCGTGTTACTCGACCGTTGCACGTCGTCCGCTATACGACGAAGTCGGATTGTCTACCTACCAGACTACGCTCAAAATCGAGCCGGGTGACTGACTTCCTTGACACTCAAAAATTGCGGCAGCTATACGACTTAATTTATTTTTGAATTTCCCGTTTTTTCACTTACATCTAGCATGCGACGCGGGTCATGCATCCAATCCGCCATACACACATGCCCTATAACTCATGGATTTGCATAGAGCGATGATTGATAGCTAGACATTCGATTACAATTATTCGCAATTTCTAATTTCGTATACAGTCAACAAAACAGAACCGGGCATACAGCGGGGCACGGTATTACACCAGACGAGCAAAGACCACTCTACACTCCAAGTCACAGTTTTCGGTACGGTTTAATTTCTTTTCGAATTTCCCGTGAAACGATTTTCACTCGATCACCTCAAAGGCGCCGGAGGCGGCTTCCACAACGCCCGGAATCGAGGCACAAGGGCAGCTAGTAATAACAATAAAATACATACCGATACCCATTACTTTATTGTAGTTTATTATTTTTTTTTTGTTATTAATCGACCGTCGGCAACAGTTTGGGTGGTTATTTTTAGTAGATTAGTAAATTAGTTGATAGTACGGTTGGTTAGAACACGTATATAATATATGTATATTTTTGTGGTGAGGATTTGTGACAAGAACCCGGGTGGTCATACATCCGAGAACTAGACAGTGGCACCGGCTTGACTTCACGTTTTGTGACCGAAGCCAACCACTGTGCCACACCAGGAAACTTTAGTAGCTTAGTATAACTATAATGGCTCCTACCTACAACTCACCGTGTGCTAAATTCGATGTACAGCGTGTTCTCGTAGTTTTTTTCTTTCTTCCTTTGAGGTACATTCCAACTAATATATAGATAGGTACTACGCAACACCTACCCTAATAAGTAATAACTAATAATATAAATACTAATAACTTATTACATTATATTATTGTATTGTAACATAACATAATAAAGTATGGACTCCAATATATACATATATATATAAATAAAGTTGTTGGATACAAATTCGATAATTTAAATTTCGCACGAGGCGTCCGTCTCGTCCAATGTCGCAATGTTTGTCACTATGGTGCACCGCCGCCGAAGCTACTCGATTGAACTTTGTACCCTCGGCGAGA